GTACATAAATATTTTTAAATATATAAATTATATTTTAAATTTATGATAAATAATTATATACTATAAAAAATTGTATTTATTGATAACTTAAATTAAAATTTAATTAATAAATAATTATAATAAAAAAAACTGAAATAGATAACAAATTAAAAAAATTCCTATAAAAAATTAAAAACATTGTATGGTAGTGTATTGTTATGCAGTTACCATACATTATAATCTCAATATTAAGCCACTCGATCTAAATTGCCGCTAAATGAATAAGCTAATGCTATAATTTGAACTACAGCCAATAATTCCGGCACAACGGTTACAGGATATAGTTCATTGAACAAATCCGCGATCCTCCTTCCTTTGAACATACTTTTCAAAATTTGATAAAGCTCAAACCTAAAATACAACCATCCTATCCACAAAACAAAAACTAAGCTCAAACCTCCAATGCAACAACTCTATCCACAACAAAAGCTAAGTTCAAACCTCCAATGCAACAACCCTATCCACAACTAGAGCTTGGACTATTTAAACATTGACTTAATCAAATTTGAGATGTTGAAGTAGCATTTTGATTCCCCATATAGTTCGATTGATCTGCAGCAGATAAATTGTGAGTATACAAGTTCGATTCTCCCCGATGTCTGTCCCTATCCTATTCCCTTATTTCCTCACCTTGGACCAAAAAAAAAACAGAAAAAGCATTTTGAACGTTTAAAAAGTTATGGTCGCTGTAAGTAAACTGTAAAAGCTTCCTCATGGAATGAAGTTGGAACTTGAAAGACCTAACTAAAGAATAGTGCTACTTTCGATTGCCTGCACTTACATATATGTACAGCTACAACTGGGCTTAATGTTAGCTATAGTTTAAACAACAATGGAGCAAGGTAGGGGTGTACTTGTGATAGTAGCGTCACTGTAGCTAAAAAGCCTGCCAAGTGGAAGGTTTCTGTTTAATTGCACTATTTCCAAATTTACCAAGTGATTATACAAGAATATACACAACGGAACCAAAAACTAGGCAAACATCTCACAAGGCGATCATGGACACAGGAGAAAAATCAAATTCAGCAGGAAAGCTATCTCCGTTAAATGTAGTGCAAGTCAAAAACAGCCGATTTAAACTTAAGGAAACCTTTCTTTTTCTTCGGAAAGCATAATATATTAAGAAGCTCAGCAACAAAATAATAAAAACCCAGATCACCTAGGTACTTTCTTTAACCTTGTTCAGCTGGGGCATCAGAATGAATTTTCTCGTACAAGCGATGTATGAGTGGAGATTTAGACATCTGGGGTTCCCTCTCCAGGACTGCAATCACATCCTTGACAGAGATGTTTCGAGCTACCCTAGTTTGAGATGCAATGGCATGACTCCTCCCAAGTTTTCTAGCAGCCACTGTCGGATGAATCAAAAAGGTGAAACGGCAATGAAAAGTAGCACAACCAATAAAAAAAAACAATTAACTTAATGGAAACCAATAACCAACATAGCATCTCTGCAACATAAGGTTGTTTGAAGCCCGATTTACACTATACTACGACAGGACAATGGCAAGGCAGGCAATCCAATGCATGATACAGTCCCTTCAGCCTCAAGAAGTGGAAAGAGTAGGGATACTCTACATTACCATATTTATCAAAACATTTTCAAGAATAGAATATTAGGCAAAACATATGCATTAGGTTTTACGTTCTGAGTTCTTCTGACAATAATGTCAGAGTCCACTTCCTTCTATTCTTAGATATTTTTTTAATCCATATATTAAGTTACAGCATTTGGATCAGTTCAGTGAATAACTATAATTGATTGCTATCTTGCAATTGAATTATTTTACAATGGAAATAAAAGGGATAAAAAAATAGCTTAAAACAAACCCACCTGAAGTTGAAAGACTTTTTTTCTCCCCTTCTTGGCTATCCTTCATACTTCTTCCAGATGTTGATGAAGATTTGCGGTTCACATCTTTAGCTGGTTGAGAACTAGATGACATGTCCGTCCCCCCTTCACGTTTCTGCTTGGCTTGCTCAGCCATAAGTTGCCACTTTGACAGCATGTCATCTCCCCCATAAGCAGCACGAGCAGCAACATTTGCAGCATTTGTCCTCATCTTGTCATCCTCTTCCTTGTTCACCTGCAGCATATTATAAATCAAAGAACAGATTTACAATGTTGATAAAGATGAAGTATAAGAACGAGATATAAATACCTTAGTTGATTTAGAACGACCATCATCCTTCTCCTTGTCACCATCAATTCCAGTATTGCTCTCAGCCTATACTTAAAAATAGAAATTTAAATGATAAGCACACAAGTTACAAATGCAAATATACAAAAGACATGCATGATGGGAAATGTGCATGGGCAAGGCTCGTCGATAACTAAACAAAATTTCAATATTTGGAACTCACATCATTTAGTTTCCGAAGCTTATCTGCTTCTGCCTGTTTTTTCTCCCACTCTTCCCTTACTTTCCTATTTATCATCATGATTTGCTGCCGAACATCTGAAGTGACAACAGTCCGATGTCTTGTTTTCTCAAAATCAACTCTCTAGTTGGAATATTCTTGTAAGTACAAAATTTTATACAATTGTAAAAGACTAATTGTGCAAGCAGCTAGAGAAAACAACTCACCTGTTTTGATATTCTAATCAGATTACTTATCAGTCCACGCATCCTTTCCTCCACGCACTGAACATTTTACTCAGCCATAAGATTACATGTAAACCTACTGCAATGAAAACTTAAGTGAAAATTTGCTTGAATCTCACCAGTGACAAGCATTTCTCCACATCATTGCTCATACCCTTCAAGCCACACTTGGCCACTGCAGAACATGAAACAGCCATAAGGTTTTGAATGCCAAGCACATCCAGATCAGCTCAAAAGGAAAGAACTAAAACAGATGAACAGTGGTATGAAACAAAGAGATCACTAACTGATGTCAATTAATTTTTTTTGCAATGGAGCTTTTTGCAAAATCAGCCTTTCCTCTTCTTCTTGCACAGCCTTTCGAGAAGCTTCTGAAACTCGACTATCCTCTTTGGGCCCTGAAAATAACTGCTCTTCCTCTTCCTGTAAGAAAGAAAGAAACATTAGAAATGGCTCCAGATTTTGAAGTAGAGGAGTAAACATTCCCTACTTATTGAGTTATTTGACTTAGTTGAACATTGACACTGTATCATACCCTGAGGTCAACTCCACTAACAGCAGTGACGTCATTCAGTTGTTCAATGCTTTGTTCTACAGATCCTCCAGAAGCTTTTTGTTTTTTACTGTAGGATAAAGGAACATGTGTACATTGAAATGAGTTGGAGATTAAGAAATTAATCCAAAAAATAAGTTATTAATGATCCAATAGAGTAAGACATGTCTCACCTTGGAGGAGGAGGTGAGGAACCAAGTGCTTCAAGTGGTTTCTTTTGGGCAACAGCAGGCTTTTTAGGAGGTGTCCTTGCAACAATTCCAGAAGCATTTGATGGAATCTGAGAGCATAGCTGGTCAGTTTCAGAAGTGGAACTAAGGAAATTAGGAATCAAGAAATTTGAAGATATATTTATAAACATGGGGCTTGCTCTGTGCAAATAATATCTTGGTATTTTAAGAAAAAAATGCATAGAAAATGCAAGATGAAGTATTATTTCCCAATAGTAGATTCATTTTAAAAACTAAAGTTGGAGCCCAAGGAATGAAATAAAAGACAAGCACAACATTATATTCTTGTCATTACTTATTGCAATTTGCAATACATCTTTGATGCACCATAAACTTGCGTAAGAAAACTGGTGAATCAAAGGTTTCTTACACATCTTATATGTCGAGGCAAGCAATTTTGCATACAAGAGGTTAAAGAGTCAAATATTAATACTAGTAAAATTGGAAATTCAAGGTTGATGGGTCTAATAGTGCAAATTAAAGGAAGGAAGAAAATGAGCCAAGCCACTTACATGCAGCTTGTGATTCAACTCATGAACAAATGAATTGAACAGAGTTAGAATATATGGCTTGTTTAAAATATGAGCTCAGCATAAGTCACTTAGTGCTACATTCAATTGCTCATGAACTGGCATAATACAGACACCTTCAGATCGTATACATTATCACATAGAATTATTTGTCATTAACCGACTATCCCAAAAGCTTAAGTTGCTGGGTAAAAGTAAAAGTACATCTGTACATGAATGATTTTATATCTAACATGTCGCCTCACTTAAGGGCTTTGTGTTTGATTTGTCGTGAATAATGCTCAGGCACACTGAACCTTGTGCTAAAATTTAACTTTTTTATTTTAAAGAGTACAGACACCAAGGATCAAACTCATAATGACTTGATCATACAGGATGACACCATGACATAAATCCTGTATTCCAAAATCTCAAACCATTGGATGAAAATACATAAATGATTTTCTATATTAAATAATATTTTTTGATCCATGAATGTTGGTTGGTAATATATAACATATATTGAGTGAGTTTTATGCAATCTGGAACTCCTTCTAAGCCTGTTTGGCTCATTAAATGCTTTGAGTTCACTAGGCTTTCACCCAATTGACCTCATTATGTGGACTCAAGTAGCTCATGACTCTAACTTGAGCCAAACATGAGCTTGGAAAATTGACTTGCAGAATGAGTAAACTAAAACTGAGATAAAAATGAACGAGTAGAGCATGGGTTGTCTTTAGCCCAGCTTGAATTATTTAGTCATTTTTCAATCCTATGTGCACACAGACAAAGGAGCTTCCAAAAACATCATTTTTTAGTCCTGTCATCAAAATAAGGAAAATGGCAAGAAAATAAAAACCATTAGCACCTAAGTAACATAAACCTCAGCCCCGATAAACACCATTGCCTGTAAATGGAAAATTACAAAAACACCCTTAGGATGGAACTAATGAAATTAACTAAGTAACAGCTTACTAATTCTAAAAAATATAAAAATTAAGATCTAGTAATGATCAAAAGGATATAAATCAGCTGGGCAATTATAGTTAATTAAAACAGAAAATAAAAACTAGAACAAAATTTTGTCTATAAAATTGGCTTGCTTGACAGTTGACACTAGTACATCCTGAGTTCAACTGTCACTTTATGGATGCCATTTATAGAGTCAAAAAAGCAGTTTGAACTTCGTAAGAGAAACTAGGGCTTCACCATTTATAGAGGCACTATATATTGATAGGCTCATAAGAAACTCATACCCAAGGAGAGGTAAAGAGAGGGATATGTGTGGGTTGTGAAGGAAATGGGCCTAAACCAAGTTTAAGAGGGTGTGAAAGAAGGGGACAAATGGAAAGCAAGGAGGGAGAGCTGAATTGGAATTACAGCAATTGGGTCAATCATGTCACCCAAAAAGACAAGCCCAATTTAGCATCGAAAGTTGTAAAGGTGGAGGCAAAAGTACTTTCTGGATTTAATTAGCCAAGCCCAACTTACTAAGGGTACTCAACTTCAAGAAAATAGCACTACGTTATAACCCAAGAGGTATTTTGTCAATTTCAAGTAATTCAAAGTTTGCTGTTTGTGGAGACTATATTTGGCGTCATATGGGAATTCAATTTACTGAACAAAAGAACAAGGGAACAAAGGAACAAGGGACTCGTAGGAGGAAGCAATGTTGGCCATTCAGGGACCGTTTTCCATCCAAGGTGTGTGAATTGGGAACCTTGGGATAGGTCAAATGATACCAAAATCTCACGTGGGTCCGTTTTCTTCCTGTTTGATAGTTGCAGTAGTTTCAGGCCATGAAAAATGGGACCAAGGAAGGGGTAAGTTAGGAACATTGTTTCAATCTTCAGGGCACATTTGTTGCACATGAAGTTCACAAGAAAGGAATCATTGAAGTTCCTAAGGAGCTACAAAATGTTTCAAGTTGTTAAGGGAAACGGGGGGGAACCAATTGATACAAATTATGCAGCTGCTGCAACAGTGAGAAAGGTGACCCTTGATGTTATGTTTGAAAGTATTGATGTTGCAGCCGGATTGGTAGCAGTTTTGAACTTATTAATGACTGCCAATATGTAGATCGCTAGAAACACCCCACAAGCTTTGCAGGTTGTTGGTGAAGCAATTTAGTTAGTGTTCCAAAGAGTTGCTAGAGTATTTTGTGTGCTGCATCAACTCTCCATGCAGCAACCAATTTTGGGCAGTATTCACTAGATAATTGTAGTATTTTACAGCCAAAAAATTGGAACCCTGGTGGAAGTTATAGCTGCCAGTGGAAGGAAATTATCCAACTCATCAAGCTATTGCAGCCAGTGGAAGAAGATAATCCAACACATCAACTTGAGGACAAAGTGCAACTGATAGGAGGGGAAGGGGGGTATTGATAGGCTCATAAGAAATATATACCCAAGGAGAGGTAAAGAGAGGGATATGGATGTTTTAGTCAGTTTTTGCATACTTTGTTCTACCTTAAAGTACAGTAAATAAGCTATCCCAAATAAATGACAGTGAGTATATCTATTCTTACTCTACTTAATTACAAAATATTTTTCAGAACTATTATTGAAAAGGTTGTTTGTTAAAAACAATTCAACAAAAATGAAATTTCCTGAAAACATATCACGGGACACTTGAGAGAACTAATGTTTCATAAATTTACATTTAATATATATTTAATAAAACAAGTACTAAAGGATGCGTTATGCCCATGAGAACAAAAAAAAACATTTGGGACTACTTGATCTGCAAAATTTGACTAGTGTATCATATAGACAAGATCACATACAACAGTCTCAAACTTACCGAGACACTAGGGTCTAGTTGGGTCATTGCAGAAGGGGAGGCAGAACTGTGTGGCAACAACCCAGAAGATGTTGTAGGTGGCATAGTTGTGGATGCTGGAAGACCTCTTGAAAACTCATCCTTTACAATTCCTTGACTAGCACCACCCTGTTCAATCTGAGCAGAATTAACAGAAGAATACCCATGCAATTTAGTCAAATTATGCCTATTTTGCTGCTCTGTAGACAAGTCACTAGGTTCCTTTTTGACATAAGAAACAGATGACATTAAGCCCAGATTTTGTTCTTTGTTTATTGATGGTTGCCAAGCATTTGAAGTTTGTTGAGATGCTGTATGGTTTACAGCAGAAGACACAGATCCACCTGGCAGCCTCTTGGGATCATGGAAAGAATTATGCTGTTCAAGTTTTGGCATACCAATTACATTCATACCATGTGTTGACCCACCTAAGTGATTTGAACCAATACTGTGATGTGAAATTTGACTAATGTGTGAATCATGCGGTTGTGGTTTGATAGATGAAGTGGAACTACTGGTTGTCATGGAAAAAGGGCTATAGTTACCACCACTATTTCCATATGCTGATGGGAAATGTAGATGTTGTTGCTGCTGCTTATTAAGCCCTTGTATGTGAACTGATGATCTTTCTGCTTCTTGACCAACTGTGGTTGAAGTGGAAGATGGCAATTGGCTTGGTTGCAATCCTTGAGATTCTATTTTAACATCCAATTCCTGAGATTTTCTAGCATTGCTCTCCATAGTTTGGCCAGCTGAAGAAGTCATGCGAGATTGGTCAACAGAAGCATTCATACTTCTCTGATGCATCTGTGCTAAAGCATGGGGATCATTCAATTGCCTTGCACCTGAACTACCATTTGGCATCCTCACAGGGTGCTGCTGCCCTACAGATGCTTGATTGGGCCTTGTCTATAATAATAGCATGAAAAGAAGAAACTTAGCATGACCATGACATCAATATTTAACTGGATTAATAAAAATCATTTACAATACAAACTATGTTCTCTTACTACCTGTGGTTGCATTTGGACCGTTGCTATTGCTAATCTAAGCATCTTGTCCCCTACAATGCCTTTCATAAGCCGCACAAAACTGTCTTTCGGTATTTTATCTTTCTACAACAAAAAGGCAAGAAAATTGATGAAACACAAAATTCATAGCATGGGATATCTGTCCATAAATTGGTCCTAGACTATCATTATAAACACTAAAACTGAGCCAGAAGGGGAAAGGGGGCTAAAGGACTTGATAGCAAGATTGGTCCGGAAAACCCACCTTCAACTTGGCAAATAAGGTTTGAAGTTGCATGGCTCTGTCTTTGGGAAGTTGAGGAATCAAGATGGGTAGCAACAGAGCAAATGGTACTTGTTTACTATGATTCCCTGGGGTACTTGGCTGCTCAGGGACTGTAGCCTGTTGATTACTCATCTGCTGCAATTTGGCATACTGAGATTCACTGTTGGGGTTATGATTCTTTCCTACTTCATTATTAAGGACAGGATCTTTTCCTGAATTCTGAATTCTGATAGCTTGAGAATTTTGAAGAGAAACTTGTACAGCCGGCGCTTGGTGACATTCATCTTGAGATTGTTTCTGTGACAAAAGAGGATTATTTACGTCCTGAGAAGCAACATGCTGTAGTTGTTCCACACGACATCCATGTTGCTTTAGCTCCATCTCTGATGAAGGTTGCTCTTGCTGTTGTGCAGTTTTAGGTTCTTGATTTTGAGAGTCAGTTTGGCTGTCATGGTTAGAAGTAGGCCACTGGGGTAAAGATTTACTAGATGTATTATTGCTTCCTTGAGACAAAACTGCAGCAATCATAGCAGCATAAAGCATGAGTACTTGTCACTTGAGAAATCACAAAGCAAATATAAAAAATCACATGACCCAATACTCAATTAAATTTATAACTAAAACGAATAGTTTTCTTCTTAAGGTTCAACTACTATATGGTATATACAAACTGGACCCATACATGTTTTAGTTCCAATGAATCAGAAGCAAACTTCTACTTTCACTCAAAAACAAGAGTTAGATGGAGAAAATGGGATAAACAAGTATTATATAGGCCATGATACTAAAACATATGCTCCAACAAAGGAGAAGTGATGTAGATGATCATAACACGTGGGTAAAGGTGGGTAGCTGTAAAATATAGGAATATTCATGCTGATATAGTTTGGACCATAACTGAATGCGGACCTGACATTCTGGCAAGGAGTTATGAAAGAATGAGGAAACTCAATCTTGGTAAATGAGAATATAAGGACATGGAGTGGAAAACAGGAGGGATTTGCAAGAATGTAGATCCTTGAAGTTCTGTAGTCTATATTTTGTTTTTTCTGCTTCTGTTAGTGTAAGAGAGATAATGAGAATATAAGAACATGGATTGGACAATGAGAGGGATTTGCAAGAAAGCAGATCCTTGAGGTTCTGTAGTCCCTATTTTTTTTTTTCTACTTCCATTAGTGTAAAGTGATAATAAGAATATAAGGGCATGGAATGCATAAGATGGATTTGCAAGAAAGCAGATCCTTGAAGTTCTGTAGTCTCTATTTTATTTTTCTTTCGCTTCCATTAGTGTAAGAGGTTTTCCACTATGATTCTATTCTTGAATGTTAGGCACTCCAATATGCTGGACAAAAATGAGAAATAAGAGTAAGTGGGGACTTATCTACACAACAAAAAACTTGCTTGTGTGGCAACAAACATGGGAAGCTGAGAAGACATGGGAAATGAGAATGGTAGGTGATTATTCAATGAGAAACTGAGAATTTTGAGGGAGTTTTCAGGTCTCTTGAATGTTTCTTTCTCTGTTTTGTGGAACTCTAGATGTACGTCTCTACTGTAAAGAGCTAGTTTCCATAATTTCTTTGAGAAATTCAAGATCAGGGAGCTGTGGATACTGAGTTTGAAGGACAAGATGCTTACTGGTGGCTGAGCATATTTCAGCGCAGCAGGAACAAAGAATCAGAGAGACCAAGGATGCCATGAAGGCGTTACTGAGAGACTGCTTTCATTTGGTACCAATGTTGGGGTTGGCTCTACTCAAATCTGATTCGGTGGGCCTTCATGAAGGCCTTGATCAAATGTTTCCAACTTGAATATGATATGGATCAACCTGTTATGGATATGGATCAAATGTGGGAACCAAAACTGTCAACATCAAAGTTGGAAAGCAAAGACTGGCACTCTGAACTGGATTCAGAATCCCAGAACCCTGACCCAAGGGCAGAGAAGGAAGTGATTAAGCAACCAGAAACAAAGGATGAAGATGTGAAATACCAGTCACAAACTAAGGTTGCTCCATTCAAGGAGTTTGCTCTCTGCATCTGTAAAGAAGATCAAAATGAAGAAGGAACTATTCTGTGCATTGGGTTGTACCATTCATCATTTCATCTCCTGGCCTATTAAACAGGCTGCGAAAAGATTCTGCCATCAGAACTGCTGAAACAAGATTTGCTCCTCGAAATGGATAAATCATCAGCAGGTGACAGAGCTGTGGATTTCTGGACATGTGGCAACCAAGTCTCCATGGTCAAATTCACCAGATCACATTCCTTATAGGCAGCCAATGGAAAAACACAAGCAAAGGTGGCTGCAGTAATCAGGTGTGTGTGAAGGGGAAGGAAGGATGATGAACTGGAACTTTGTCAAGTGAACTCATTCTCTAGGGGAGTATTATTGTTAAGCATTTGTATGCTTGACCACAAGAGAATCATGAGAAAGGACAGAATAGGGATTTATTTAGGCTACTACAAACACATGACATGCTTATAAGGAAGCACGCATGGGGCGATGAGGTGAACTTAGAGGATGTGTGGGATAAAAGGGAACAGGGAGGAATGAGAGAGGTGAGCTATTATTCAGTGAGAATTTGGAGGAGGTTTCAGGTCTCTCGTATGACCAGTGATATCCTCCTTTAAGATTCTACCAGTGTAATTGGGGAATTATTCCTGTTCTCTGTAATCCAGCACTTGGTCTCCTATCAATTGGTATTAGAGCTTCAGATCTGGAGAAGCAGTGGTAACTGGTAATAAGGAATTTAAGCTCTGACAATGAGGAGAATAAGAGAAAAGGACAGAATGCATATTTGATAAGCTTATGTGGTAAAGTGATAAAAAGCAAGGGAGAGAATGGGGAGAAGAGGTATATTAAGAAATTGAGCAATGCATTGGTAGGGAGGCCAAAGGGGGTAGCCAAGTAAGCACCTCAACTAGCCTACAGCTCTATTTTTCTTTTCAAGTTTGGGAAAAATCTATACACTATATTCCCTCTATGAAGTCATTTATAGTCTAAACTCTAGCTCCATTTTCCTTTTCCTGATTGAGAACTATGTTTCAGATTCACCTTGTGTTTGTGAAGTCCTTTAGTTTCAGTAACAGAGAGTGAATTTCGTTTCTGAATATAATCAATCAATTGGCAAGAAAAATTAACAGTCCACAAAAGCAACAGAAATGTAACCACACAGATACTTTGTTGTAGTACATCATGATAATTTGATATTGAAATAAAAATTCATTTAGTGCATATATTGAATAGTAAAATATTTCTTGGACCTTTGTAACTACTACAGGTCAAATTCCAATCAAAGAAACACAAATGATAAAAGGAGATATCAACTTGGGGCATAGTTAATTAATTTTCATCAACAAACAAATACTTCAGAGTTGAGAGTTCCAATATCACGACCACAAATAAAGTTTTTTTTTATTTTTTCATTTTTTAATGTATAACCAACAAACTCAAACATGGGCTTCAGAAGCAATAGAATAAGAGATAGTAACAGCATAGAAATCAAATATTATCAGAATAAGGGAGAGGTCAGTATTGAACAAAAATAGTGAATAAAATTCATGGATACCTGAATCTGAACCAGAAAACTAAGAAGTAGACACATCTCCTATATCTCTATTTAGGGCAGCCTGGAAGGCTTCCAAATCCACCCCTGAATGCATTGTTTCATCCTGTGAACATTTACACACAGTGGTAGGATTAGCCAAACCCCAAGTCAGTAAGTTACGGCCGATTTTTTTCCTTGAAAGAAAATGATGAAAGAAGAGCCGAGTAAACCTCGTCATCTTCTGGAAGCTTCACAATAGACGGGTCCATAGCAATTCCACAACACTTGTTATCTTTGGTGATCTATTTAACAAAAAATGAGATCAGAATTTTTCTTTGCACCATATTTAAGCTCATAAATTGAAGCAGACAAACTGAAATAGCGTCATCACCATATGTATTAGGCAATAAGCATCTTGACCACATGTTCAACTTCTACCTAAACACTTACAATCACGTAATAGAATTCAGTTAATTTCAACGAGGGGTTCCATGATGTCATGTTAGGGTTTAGGGCTATTCACGAGCTTGTAAGCATGCTAAACATCTAAAATAAAAACACGTTAATTCATCAAACACACGGGGTGCGAGTACGAGACCTAGAAATTATTGGTACATTACTGAGCAAAAAGCGCAATGATAATTGTTTCAGGTTAAACATTAATGAAGAAACATCGACGCTATACAGTTTGATTGGTTCCTGAGCGTGTTTCGGAAAATTAAGAATGAGGTTCCAAGAGTAATTGCAACTGACCCAACGAAGAGAAAGCAAAAGGTGTTGTTGAGGTTCCAAGAGCGAGCATGTAGGAACCAAAACAATAGTGCAATCTCGATTTCTTTTAGAACACGATTCGAGAACAGAGCACAAGGTAAGATGGTTAAGATTCAAGAGGGTTTTTGTAGTTTCGCGTTTGGACAGAGAAAATTCTTTTAAATAGTTATTTATTAATTATTATAATTGTAATGTTAATGTAATTCGAAGTTTCTATTTATTATTAAATTTTCGGTTTATTTTTTTATTACTTTTACAAGAATAAAAATATATACTAGTGTAATTAATCTAAATATCATCAAATATTAATTATTAAATAATTTATTTGATATTATATTTAGTCAATATTATGATATTAATGATTAATAGTTAAACTAAAATTATAATTTTTATAAAATTGGAGGATATAAGACCAAAATCATTGATTGAATAAAAACTTACAATTTAATCTTTAATTTTCTAATATATTAAATGCTAAAATTTAATTTCACAATACACTAGTACAAAAATGGCTTTTAAAATCGGAGTTTTAAAATCGGTCATCTGGTAGCCGATTTTAAAAGTAATGCGGTGATAATTTTGTAAATAATGGCATTACTTTTAAAATCGGCTACATTATGACCGATTTTAAAAGTCTCTGACGCTACTTTTAAAATCAGCTCTTGAACAGCCGATTTTAAAAGTGAGACTTTTAAAATCGGCTCATGAACAGCCGATTTTAAAAGTCTACTTTTAGAATCAGTTTTAAAAATATCACTTTTAAAATCGGTTATTGAACAGCCGATTTTAAAAGTAGTATCAGAGAATTAATTACACTATCTCTGCTCCTAGTGCTCCATTCTCTACTATTTTGCTTCACTATCATATATTCTTCCTCTTTACTCTCTGGGACTCTCATCTGAAGTGTGGAGCTTCTCATTTTCTAGGACGAATACAACATTGAGGTAACATTTTCGTTTCATGCGTCTTATTTTGTTGGTTTTGGGCGAACTTTGAGTCTGGAACAGCCCTGGAACGGCCCTAGAACGGCCCGTTCTGCAAGCAAAACGGCCTGTACTGCTTGCAGAACGGGCCGTTCTGCTTGCAGTACGGGCCGTTCTAATTGCAGTACAGGCCGTTCTGCTTGCAATACGGGTCGTTCTGCAAGCAGTACGGGTCGTTCTACAAGCAGTACAGGCTGTTACAGGGCTGTTACCAGACACTGTTTTAGGCATTTTTCTAAATTGGACCCCTTGTATGTATGTGTTATATATTTGTATTTTATTAATAATTTGTGATATAACACATTGAAAAATATTGACAAACCTTTTTTAGAATTTATTTTTTTTCATAAACATAGTTCACGTAATACTTGTAAGATGATAATTAAAGACTAATTTTTACATTATAAAAGTAAAATTTTGGAAGTGTTTTTAAATATCTTGGAATTAATTGAAATTCAAAAAGAAAATATTTTTTTAGAATTAAACTTCTTAAAGTAATATAAGAAAA